TGCCATGTCTTCACAAATTCTAGGGATTAGGGCTTGAATATCTTTGGGAGCCATTATTCTTGTCTACCACAAGAAAAATAACAAGATACACATTTTTTTCATTACACATCTTATGTCCAGAAAAATTAATGCAATTTAAATATTTTTCTATAAGTATACAGGGAAATTACGAGATAAAGAATGAAGTCCAAATGAACTTTGTTACAGATTAAAACTCAAAAGGGATCACTACATGTTACATGCAAATTCAGTGATGCAATAGGGAGTCCAACCTTTGTTTCAATGGATACTCCATAATATATTATGATAATTGAGATCCTTTTAATTTATCTCTCTCCTGGTACTGTTTCTTTTCACTAAAACAGGCATTTCCCATTCTAGGTTCAAAATTAATGATACAAATATATTTCAAATGTTTCATAACAGCTTATTTGTTAAGGAGATACTAATTTTCCCACTTCAAAGCATTTTGAGGTCTAAAGACAATTCAGCATTTATAAAAATATTATAGTTTATAGGGTATTTGTTTAGGAAGATTAGAATTTAAAATATTGCTATTCAAGGGTCAGCAGGTGGTGTGGAGTTTAATCCTACTGGATCCTACATGCTGATTTCATGGCTGAGCCCCAGACCTGGCAGCTTGAAGATCATACTACGTGTGTGTGCATAGGTATGTCCCCCAAATCTCGAGAAGAGAATGGAGAAGGGATTGTGGTGTGGCCATCCCCTTTGGGGGATAATTTCTCTCTTTCTGTTGCCGGTGAGTGGGTGTACTCTATAACAAACTAAAGAAAACTTTAAAAAATAAAAACTGCTATTCAAAAAGTTTCCAGGGGCCAGGCAGGTGGCATAATGGTTAAGGTGCTGGACTCCAACAAGGCTGACTCCAGTTCAAGTACTGGGCCCAGCAGCTTGTTTTCTCACATTCTTTCTCTGTCTCTGATGAGTGCATGTTCCCTATAGCAAAATTTAAAAAATAATAATAAATGAAATTAAATAAGTTTTTAGAAAGAAATGAAAAAATTTCCTAATCTGGAAAAAGTAAAACTCATTATAATAGCATTGAGACAGGCAGACACTGAGGCAAAATGGCTTTTAAAGGACTATATTTCCTAAGCCAAAAATGGACGCATATTTTAAATGAGGATATTTTGTGCCTTCTTACTCCACTAATATGAAAAAGCTTTAATATGGAAAAAATATTGTACCTGCATATGATACATACATGTATCTTTTTTCAAGTGCAAAAACAAAAGCAAAACAAAACAAAATGAAACACCTCTCCCACAAACTGTGAGTCCATTTAGAACCGCAGTTGAGACTACACCTTATGAGCAGCACAGAAGCTGACAAGTTTTCTATCCATTAGCAGCCAACGTGGGAGAAAGGAAGACCTGTACAGATCCAAAGATCAATTTACCAAAACAAAGTTTCCACATTTTTTATGTGCAAAAATTAAAATAAGATATGCACAGGATCAGCAGATGACATAACAATTACATCGCTGGACTCCCATGTAGTCGGCCACAGTTTGAGTCCCGGACCCAGTGGCTTAAAATTCACACTGGACACTTGTGCATGTGTGCCCAAAATCCTGAGAGGAAAATGGAGAAGGGGCTGCAGCATGGCCACCACCCCCCACAAGAGGGTGATTTCTCGCCGTTTCTCTGTCTCTTCAGCAAGCGTACACACCTATAGCAAAAAAAAAAAAAAAAAAAAAAACCCTCTTAAAAAAATAAAGTAGATATGCAATCCATAGTGACTCATAGTACATATGAGTACATAGTACTCATATGCTTCATTTTTGTGTTCCTGTAAGATTTCCCCAGAGCAGGGATCAAACTTCCTCTGGAGCAATCAAATATGTACATATTCTTTCCTATTCATATATTGCATACCAGAAATATTAGGTTAACTGATATGTCATACTTTTTAAGTAACCACATCTCTTAATTATCTTAATGTATAACCTGAATATTTCTATCCAATCTTATTCTATGTACAATTCCAAATTTAAGGAAGTTTTTCAATAGTTAATTTTGTAAAGTAAAAAATAAACAACAGAGCATTTGAAGGTGTTTTTCACTGACCAGAAATTAACAGAAGAGACACTTCAAGAAATATGACAAGTGATACGAGACAAAGAGATGGTATTCCAAAAGTTTACTTATAAGTTGAAATGTCTTTCCCATAGGAAATAAAAATTATCATCAGATGCCAGACTAGTCCATAAATATCTAACGAATAATAGTCAAAATAATAGATAAGAAATAGCAGAAAATGCACTGTAATTCCCCAGCAAAATACAACAAAAATAATAAAATACTAATCTAAATGTTAAATAGTGGAACCTGAAGAATACTGTCAGGCCCGCTGGTGGCATGGTGGTTGGGACAACTGGATCCAACATGGCCAACTTGTCCTCTTTCAGTCCTAGACCTGGTCGCTTGAGAAACATACCAGGTATATGTGTGTGCCCCAAATCCCAAAAGGACAAGGAGAGAAGAGATTGCAGCATGACCATCCCCATGGGGGTGCTTTCTCACTTGCACACACCCTCAAGCAAATTAAAAATTTAAAAAAAAAAACTTTCTATCTAACTTTCCTCTAATTAAAATTGTGTATAAACTCTAAGGGGAAATTCTGGCCACTTTCAAGGCTTCTGTAATCTGGTAACACAGATTCATTCAAACTTGGCGCTATGAACATGCTATTTAGCACCTCTCTTCCCTACTGTCTAGTGTTAAATGACAACGTTAAGATGATTCAGTCTAGGTCTGGCATAAAGTAAGCTCTATGAAAAATTGTATGATTAGGAATGATTTGAGGCTCTTGGTAACTGGGTAGCACAAGTGATACGAGACAAAGAGATGGTATTCCAAAAGTTTACTTATAAGTTGAAATGTCTTTCCCATAGGAAATAAAAATTATCATCAGATGCCAGACTAGTCCATAAATATCTAACGAATAATAGTCAAAATAATAGATAAGAAATAGCAGAAAATGCACTGTAATTCCCCAGCAAAATACAACAAAAATAATAAAATACTAATCTAAATGTTAAATAGTGGAACCTGAAGAATACTGTCAGGCCCGCTGGTGGCATGGTGGTTGGGACAACTGGATCCAACATGGCCAACTTGTCCTCTTTCAGTCCTAGACCTGGTCGCTTGAGAAACATACCAGGTATATGTGTGTGCCCCAAATCCCAAAAGGACAAGGAGAGAAGAGATTGCAGCATGACCATCCCCATGGGGGTGCTTTCTCACTTGCACACACCCTCAAGCAAATTAAAAATTTAAAAAAAAAAACTTTCTATCTAACTTTCCTCTAATTAAAATTGTGTATAAACTCTAAGGGGAAATTCTGGCCACTTTCAAGGCTTCTGTAATCTGGTAACACAGATTCATTCAAACTTGGCGCTATGAACATGCTATTTAGCACCTCTCTTCCCTACTGTCTAGTGTTAAATGACAACGTTAAGATGATTCAGTCTAGGTCTGGCATAAAGTAAGCTCTATGAAAAATTGTATGATTAGGAATGATTTGAGGCTCTTGGTAACTGGGTAGCGATTTGAAGAGAAGGTAGCATGAGTTAAGAAAAGGACGTGTACACGTAAGTATAGAAAAAGAAGCTCTTGAGGTGGTATCGACTAATGTATTTTGTCAACTCTCCTTTCCAGGAAACCTAGGTCTAAGGTCCCTGGTAGGTCAGAATCTGGAAAGAGAATCCAAAGGTTAGACCTTTGGTCAGCAGGTGACATGGAGGTTAAGACACCAGATCCCATATGGTGACTGTGCAGTTCAAGTCCCGGACCCATTAGCTTGAAAATCATACTAGCCCTGTATGAATACCTGCCTAAAATCCTGAGAGGAGAATGGAGAAGGGATTGAGGCAACGCCATTCCTCCTAGGGGGTAATTTCTCTCTCTCTCTCTCTCTCTCTCTCTCTCTCTCCCCCTGGCAAGCAAGCACGTGCACCCTACAGCAAAATTTAAAAATAAATAAATAAATAAAAATTACCCATGACTTATGAGCCTGAATAACAGCTAACCGAGACCACACTCTAGGGGAAGTAACCTCATAAAATAAGTGTCATCTCAAAAAACAGGGAGATGACAAGAACTGAATCCAAAGCATTTAGGCAGATGGTGCCAGCCTGTGCTGGAGAAAAGGCAGAAGTATTTCCCTAAGGAAACGGGAGAGGACAGGCACCAGGGTTGCAGGGACAGCCCTCTGCAGCACACCTCTGACTAAGTCTGTGGCCCAGCTGTTAAAAGCACTGGATCTGTTTGATAGTTATAAGCACAAAAAGAGCCATGTGTTGCTTCTTGCTAAAAAAAGAAAGGGCAGAACTATCATGGGGTGAATCCAGCAGTTCACAAATCTGAACGAACATCAGAATATCTAATGCGTGCTTTTAAAATGTAGAGTTCCCCCATCCCTAAAGTTTACGATCGCATAGGTCTGAGTTTGTCACATTCAGTCAAATTTGGGAAACCCTCGGCTTCAGCGGAGTTTAATAGATGACCCTCTGAAGTACAATGCAGTGACAGTTATCTTCTCTCGCAAAGTAATGCTCTGCAGCTGCTGGTTTGAAAAACCACACACATAAATTACATAACCACGTATCTTCATACAACAAATGAAATATGTGAATGTCTGAAAACATTTGGAAACCCACAAATCTAAAGTTAATGACATACAGTATAAAAAAATACAGAGCGCTTTTAGGGAAAAAAGAAAGATACCTGTGCTCTCAAGTTTAAGAATTAGAAATTTAGAAATTATGACTGATTTTGATACTACAAAGAAAACAAGACACCTTTTTTACTCCAGAAAGTTCATGTCTTTTCATCATAATTGAAGGAGTTGTATGCTCGATTGAATAGGGTCAGCATTATTTTTAAAAATTTTCCACCAATGTTTTTAAATGAAGCCACACACCTGAGTATTTTGGAGTATATAAACATATCTGTTAGCAGTCTAAGATCACCAACATTTACAATGCGCTTCTGCAACAGAATTTGGGATGAACCACTAGCAAAATAAGTTACAAGATGAGATTTTATGAGGAGTTGGTCTGAACCCCAGAAGTCAGAGGAGTTAAATCTTCAAATGTGCTTTTAAGAAATGAAAATTCTACGTGGCACTAATCTGCTTTTGCATATTATTTTTTAAATGGCTATTAAGGCTTTATTGTGAGAGATTACAAAAACATATCCTATTGTGCATCATGCAAGATGCAGAAAATAATGGTTGGCAAATAACTGTTGAGTAATGAAGGTAAACATGGTTTTCATGGTGGACTTCTCAAATCAAAGACGTTTCTCAGATTAAAATAAGATTAAAGAGTTAAGGGGAAATTACATCCTTAATTTAAAAACAACTTCTGCAGATTTTAAAATAAAAAGAAATAAATGATTATAACTATAGATTTTAAAAATGTTGCTTTAGGGAAAAGTCTTGATTCACTGCTTTCTTCTCTCAATGTCTCTGTTTCCATAATATAAAATAATAATTCACAGTTATTGTGAGGAGGACAACTTCTGATTCAGTTCCAATGCCCTTTTATCTCCTTGAATTTCAGCATTCTTTACAAGTACCTGTGGAAAATCATATACGTGTTATTAGTATTTGTTTATTTATTGACAATACCTATATTTAGATCCATAGAAGGCAAGTATTCCAAACAGTAGCAATGTTGAAAGGCAACATAAGACTACATATGGTTAAAGTGACTACACGCAATCTTTCAGTTACTTTTGCTGAAATAAGTTGTTCGAAGCTAACTTCAGAGAGAAGGGTCATTTATTCAAATCGGTGTAGACGCCAACATTTTGATTGTTGCTACTGTACACCTGTACAAAACTAACTAAAGGTTTTATTTGGTGGCTTTGCTTCTGATACCATCACCTCTAAATCCTTACCCCAAAAGCCCACTTTCTACGTAGAATTGTCCAAACGACATTGTCGCCCTTTAAACCACGGCTTAGGATCTAAGCTCTGGGGTCTAAGCTCTATTAACATCTTTCCATGATTTTCTCCAGTTCCACGAATCAGAAGATTGGATTTCAGCTGATCATTCAATTCCTCAAGCATCTGTCGATTGTTCATTGTTAAACAGTGGGAAAGGTCAGAGATTTTGCTCGGCTTGCAAGCTGACCAGTTAGCCTTCCAGAGTTTCATGGGTGCTGCCAGAAAATACAGGACTTCTGGGCCAGAGACAGAAGTTTTCATTACTCAGAATAAAGCAAACTCTATGAGCATCAGCGTGCTCGCACCTGTTCCCCCTGCCTTCGCCTCACTGCTTGACATGGATGGACTCGCACGGCTGCCCACACATTCCGTGGGAAGCCTGCACCTAGGAGACTGGAATATTTTATAATGGGCAGTGAGCAATGCCTATATGCAGAGAGACAGTCTGTCCCCCAAGGCTGTGCACTACACCAACATCTTTGACAAGACAGTCTGGAACAAAGGGTAGTCAGGCCCCCTGTTCACAGGATATTTAGAAATGCAATGGTGAGACCCGCGGTGAACTGTCCCCAACATTTGACCCTTTGGTTTGTGGCGTATTGATTATAATTCCTTTCCCCAAGAATTGTTTACATTAATATTTATTTAATATTATATGTTTCACCAAAAGACATCTATTTCAAATGCTGTGGGTACTGAAAAAGCTTTTCATTAATTTTCAATGTGTTTTTTTTTTCATAGGTTTTTGCTATAGGGCGCGTGCACTCACCAGACGGACAGAGAGACATAGAGACAGAAAGCGAGAAATCACCCCCCCCCCAGGGGGGATGGCCACGCCACAATTCCTTCTCCTCTGTGCTCCTCTCGGGATTTTGGGCACGCACGCATACGTGCCTGGTTTGAGTTTTAAGTCACCAGGTCTGGGACATGAACCACGGTCAACTACATGGGAGTCCAGCGACATAGCCATTACGCTAACTGCTGGTCCCAATTTTCAACGTGTTCTTAAAGTGTTGGTTAAAGTTATGAGAAAATTAACCCAATAATTTTCCTTTTTTTTCTTTTTTAGTTTTTTTTTTTTTTTTTGCCATGGGGGCACACTATGTGCTCACCAGAGAAAGAGAGAAAGTGAGAAATCATCCACCAGGAGATGGCCTTGCCACAAACCTTTCTCCTCCACTCTCCTGTCAGGATTTTGGGCACTCATGGACAAGCACCTGGTGTGGTTTTTTTTTTTAGCCGCGAGGTCCAGGAATCGAACAGTAGTGGATCATGAGAGAGTCCAGTACCTTAGTCGCTATGCTATCTGCTGGCACCAACCCAATGCATTTTTTTTCTTTTTTTTGGAGAGGTTTTTGCTATAGGGCATGTGCATTCACCAGACAGAGAGAGACAGAGAGACAGAAAGCAAGAAATCACCCCTCAGGGGGGATGGCCACGCAGTAATCCCTTCTCCTCCATTCTCCTCTCGGGATCTTGGGCACACACGCACACACGCCTGGCATGAGTTTTAAGCCACCGGGTCCAGGACTTGAACTGTGGTTGGCTACATGGGAGTTCAGTGACATAGCCATTATGCTAACTGCTGGCCCCACCCAATGCATTTTTGTACACTCTACCTTTCCCAAAAGAATTTCATATACAGACATGTTCATGTATTTAGATACCAGAGCCATCCTGTGAGAAGTACATTTTTATCAGATGCATTTTATGTCATTTTTTCCTTGCTAGAGGGAGCATACACTACCTAGAGAGGACAGAGAAACAGAGGGAGGAGAGGGAGAAAGCAATCCCCACAGGGCGAGTGCACACCGAAGTCCCTTCTCTCTCATTTCTCCATACTGTCGAGATTGGGGAATGTATCCGAACTTGCTCAGCAAATTTTTCAAGCCATTAAAGCTGGGATTCAGACTATGGTCAGCCATGTGGGATCTGATTCCCTTAACTACTAGCCTCTGGGGCCAGCCCATCACATGCATTTATAGAAAAGGCTAGAAGTAAAATAATTTTTTCAAAGACAATATGAACATTCCATTAGATTCTGCTACCTCTAATCCCATCTATTTACCTATTTGCCTCCACTGCAATAACTATTAAAAAAATAAATACAACTAGCATTTAACACCTTTCTCTATCTTTTCTCTTATTCTACAAAGCACATTAGGAGAATGTTATTACCAACAGGTAAAATCAGACATCCTCGACCAAGGGCAATTATATCCCAAGGATCATCTGACAAAGTCTAGAAGACTTTTTGATCATCACAAGTAGGGCATTTAGTGTTAGAGGCCAGGATGTGGCAAAACATTTAACACTGAACAGGACAACACCCACCACCAACAAAGGATTATCCAGTCCAAAATCTCAATAGTTCTGAGGTTTGGAAACTCTAGGTTAAATAGATGACCAAAAAAATGTATCACATTTCAAGCTCAAGAAAAGAAAAATACAGGCAGGCAAAAACAACGCTATTATTGTGCGGTTAATATTAAGACCAGTACCAACGCATGCATCTTCAATCCTTGGGTTTACTACTCGACCATTTTTTAAAGACTTATCTTTTACCAAGGTATTCTGTCCACCTACTTAAAAATACAGCAAGAACATGTTAATAATATGAAAGAGAGGGGGTATCTTTAAGTAATTTATTTCTGACAAAAAAAAAAAAATAATATGAGAGGGCGTATCGTTAAGTAATTTATTTCTGACAAAAAAAAAAAAAAAAACAAGAAAAGTTGATTCTTGGTTCTCAGGTCACAAATGGGCATAAATTTGTATCGCTATAATTTCACAAGATAAGGGCTTCAGATCAGCTGTGTTCAATTTTTTATTAACTTCAGTATATCTACTGGGTAACTTTTAAACTTGTAAATGTTCGAGGGCGTATCGTTAAGTAATTTATTTCTGACAAAAAAAAAAAAAAAAACAAGAAAAGTTGATTCTTGGTTCTCAGGTCACAAATGGGCATAAATTTGTATCGCTATAATTTCACAAGATAAGGGCTTCAGATCAGCTGTGTTCAATTTTTTATTAACTTCAGTATATCTACTGGGTAACTTTTAAACTTGTAAATGTTCTCATTGGTTCACAGATAAAATATTGCCAATTAGGCAAGCTCCCTATAATTCTACCCTTTCACTTAAGAAAACTTATAAGGATGTATTCATAGTTGGCACAAGCAGTAGAGTGCTACTGTGAGATACTGGCTCCACACAAGAAGGTGTGGGGTTCAGATCCCAGGTTGGCCTGAACCGACCTCATCACACCTGACATGGCTGTGATCCTGGCTGGCTGGAAGACTGGGGTGGAGGAGGACTGTAGTTTGATGAGACCCAGCTGGGGGCATCTCATGAAAAAAAAAAATAAAGCTTTTTAAAAAAGTATATTGATAGGTTATAAGAATATCCATTAATTTAATATATTTTATTACAGAAAATTAAAAAATAAAACCATTTGCCACTTACCCTTAGTATCCAATTACTTAAATCTAATTCCCTAGTTCCCTAAACCCCCATCCTTGTTTTTGTTTGGATTCTGGCTTTGAAATGGTAATGCCACCCCAACGAATATAGTCCCCCTATATAATGACATCTTGCATATAAACAGGTTGAAACTACGTTACACTATTTTTAAATATAGCGTTAAAGAGCTCATTACTTATGCAAAAGAGCCTCAACTGTTGATATTCCAATATTAAAAGGGGGATTTTAGGCCAGCATAGTGGTTAAGGTGCTGGACTCCCACATGGTTGACAACAGTTCAAGTCCTGGACCTAGTCACTTACTTTTCTCTCCCCTGCCCCAACAACCCTGATGAGTGCACATGCTCTATAGAAAATTAAAACATAATAATAATTATAATAGATAAAATTAAAATAAGTAATTCTTTAAAAATAAATAAATACATAGGAATTTCACAATTAACCTACAGGAAAATAAATTATAAAAAGGGTCTTCAAAAAATTTATGGAGCGGGACCAGCAGTTAGCGTAATGGCTATGTCACTGGACTCCCACGTAGTCGACCACGGTTCGAGTCCCAGACCCAGTGGTTTAAACTCACGCCGGGCGCGTGTGCGTGAGTGCCCAAGATCCCAAGAGGAGAATGGAGGAGAAGGGATTGTGGTGTGACCATCCCCCCTGGGGGGTGATTTCTCGCTTTCTGTCTCTCTGTCTCTCTCTGTCTGTCTGGCGAGCACACGAGCCCTATAGCGAAAACCTCTCCAAAAAAAAAATTTATGGAAAAATGTATATTATGAAAAATCACACATGGAGTTGAAAATTTTTTTACACCAAAGTAAACTTGTATTTAATTATTGTTTTACTTGCCAGAAGTATATGTGTTCACCAGAGAGAGAGGGAGAGAAAGGGAAAGAAAATAATCTCCAGTGAGGTGTAGTTCCACCATAATCACTTATTCTGCAGTTCTCCGGCCTGTCAGGAGTTCGGGCACTCACACAGCTGAGTGCCACATGTTTGCAAGTCACCAGGCCATCGTCTGGACTGCAGTCAGCCCTGTGGGATCCAGCTTCCTACACACAGGGCTTAGCTGCTGAGCCAGAGGGCCAGTCCTAAGTCTCTACTTTAACTCCATTTTTCCACGAACTTTGCAAAGTCTCCTTAAATATATTTAACACTTGAGCCATGTGCGTAAGAGTGTCCCTACTTTCAACAGATGCAGAAGAAGACACTGTAGTTTCTTGTTAGTCCAAGAATCACATGCTTCTTTTAAAAAGTTAATCACAACATGGAGTAACTTTGAAAAATAACTCTAAAATCCTGAGGTCCAAATGAAATATGTTAAATAAAATCAATGCCTTACTTCAATCAGCTGATAGTCATTTTTGGCATGTAAGTGTCTCAGCAGGTACCAACGTGCAGTTGATGCAATGGATTTGGGATACCCAGGCTGGTACACCACTCTCTCCAAAAGGCGCCGTGTCTCTCTGGAAAAAGAAGATATGTACATTCAGTCTGAAGTATGTAAATAACATAAGATATTTCATATACAGGTCTTACATAAACATCTTTTTTTTTTTTTTTGAAGATGTGGTACCTAACTCACAAATTTTTTATTCAGGTAACAATAAAAGTAATAATACTGACTAATATTTATTAAATATATCATACTCTAGGTACTAAGCTAAGAGTTTTACATATATGGTCCTAATATTCACTACCTTATTCCCATTTTGTAGATAAGTAAATTAAGGTTGATTCCAAATAAAATGGAGAGAAGGCTCTTTTTTTAGGGGGAGAGGTTTTTTTGCTATAGGGCGCGTGCGCTCGCCAGACAGACAGAAAAACAGAGAGACAGAAAGCGAGAAATCACCCCCCCAGGGGGGATGGCCACGCCGCAATCCCTTCTCCTCCATTTTCCTCTCGGGATCTTGGGCATGCACGCACACGCGCCCGGCGTGAGTTTTAAGCCATCAGGTCCGGATGCGAACCATGGTCGACTACGTGGGAGTCCAGCGACATACCCATTACACTAACTGCTGGTCCCCCAAGAAGGCTCTTATTTGATGAGTACTTCCGAGTGGTTCACCTCTAATCTTTCTTGAAAGTAAATTAATTAATAAATAATACAAAGGTGATATGGAATAGAACAAAACATATTTAACATCTACAAAAGAGGCTTAGTATATCAGGCTTTAAATGTTTTGCATGATACATGAACCCATGCAATAACAGGCTGATCTACAGTTATGTTCTAATTTTTTCTTTCCCAATTCATTAAGGTCTATCTAAAAACTAAGTACTATAGGGACCAGCAGTTAGCATAATGGTTATGTCACTGGACTCCCATGTAGTTGACCGTGGTTCAAGTCCCAGATCCAGTGGCTTAAACTCACGCTGGGTGCGTGTATGTGCATGCCCAAGATCCCAAGAGGAGAATGGAAGAGAAGGGATTGCGGCATGGCCATCCCCCTTGGAGGGTGATTTCTCGCTTTCTGTCTCTCTGTCTCTCTGGCAAACGTACACTCCCTATAGAAAAAAAAAAAAAAACTAAGAACTATCTAAAAACATCCATTTTGGTAGCCAGCGACATACCCATTACACTAACTGCTGGTCCCCCAAGAAGGCTCTTATTTGATGAGTACTTCCGAGTGGTTCACCTCTAATCTTTCTTGAAAGTAAATTAATTAATAAATAATACAAAGGTGATATGGAATAGAACAAAACATATTTAACATCTACAAAAGAGGCTTAGTATATCAGGCTTTAAATGTTTTGCATGATACATGAACCCATGCAATAACAGGCTGATCTACAGTTATGTTCTAATTTTTTCTTTCCCAATTCATTAAGGTCTATCTAAAAACTAAGTACTATAGGGACCAGCAGTTAGCATAATGGTTATGTCACTGGACTCCCATGTAGTTGACCGTGGTTCAAGTCCCAGATCCAGTGGCTTAAACTCACGCTGGGTGCGTGTATGTGCATGCCCAAGATCCCAAGAGGAGAATGGAAGAGAAGGGATTGCGGCATGGCCATCCCCCTTGGAGGGTGATTTCTCGCTTTCTGTCTCTCTGTCTCTCTGGCAAACGTACACTCCCTATAGAAAAAAAAAAAAAAACTAAGTACTATCTAAAAACATCCATTTTGGTAGAAACAGCATAAATAGTAGTACTTTCAGTGTTACTACACAGAAGGAACTTATACAGTACCAATTGGTTGGAAGCAGAAAACTAGCTTCAAGATGCTTCGGCATACAGATTAGGTAACAAGCACATTTTTCCTTAGACTTCATGTTTATTTAGTCTAGTTTTTGAATTTGATAAAAATTATGGGGATATTAACAAAAATTACAAGGGAAAATCAGGGTAATACCCTCTAAGTCACCCACACTGAGTATAACAGGAATTCATTAGAAAGTTTAAATTATAGCCAAAAACATTTCTTGGTAAAATCAGTTATACGAAAGGGACCAGCAGGTGACATGGTGGTTAAGGCACTGTATTCCCACATGACTGACTATGGTTTGAATCCCAGACCAGGTAGCTTGGGTGCATGTGCGTGCATGCTCAAAATCTTGAGAGGAGAATGGAGGAGAAAGGATTGCAGCATGGCCATCACCCCTAGGGGATTATTTCTCACTTTCCATCTCTCTGTCTCTCTCCAACAAGTACACATGTATGTACCCTATGGCAAAACCTAAAAAAAGAGAAAATGAAAATGAAAAAAAAAAATCAGTTACACAAAAGAAATGACCAAAAATAAATAAATATTAGTAAATAGTGCTGAAATTGCTGATTAGGCAGAGTCTTCATTCTTCCTTCATCTTTATTGTGTGATATGTCTTCAGCCACTTTTTTTGTTTGTTTGTTTGTTTTTACGTTTTCATCAGAGTGCGCACACACTTGGAGAGTCACAGAGAGAAGAAATGTGAGAAATTACCCCCTAGGTATTACAGACACAACACAATCCCTTGTCCTTCATTCTCCTCTAGAGACTTTGGGCATGTGTGGGCATGGTTTTCAAGCTGCCAGGTCCAGGGCTCAAACTGCAGTTGTCCATGTGGGAGTCCAGCACCTTAACTACTTCACTACCTGCTGGCCCCCAGCAATATTTTAATATGTATCAAACTCAATTTCTTTTCCTTTCTTTGCTTTGCTTTTCTTTGCTTTTCTTTCTTTCTTTTTTTTTTTAAAAGGTTTTGGTCATAGGGTATATGTGCATGTCAAAGAAGGAAAAGTGAGAAATCATCCCTCAGCAGGGATGGCCATGCTGCAAATTCCTTCTCCTGCACTCCTCTCCTGAGATTTTGGGGGCCTGGTGTGATTTTTCAAGCCACTAGGTCTGGGATTCAAACCATGGTAGACCAGGTAGGTGTTCACCTTAACCACCACACCACCTGCTGGTCCCATACTCTATTTTAAAATACTTGTTCTAGTCCAGGAATGTTTGCCCCTAAACCAGTTTCACTATGGTTGTTTTGTATCATGTGCGATATTTATCAGAACTAGGTTGCACAGTTTGGGGGTTTCTTTGTTGTGTTTTTATTGTTGTTGTTTTGTTTTGTTAGGAATTTTAAACTATTCTTGCCTCTTTTTTTCATCCATATGACCTTTAAATAATTTTCCTTAAATTTATTTCTAACCCCATCCTCCAATAAAAATACTACTAGAATTTTTTTATTTTTTTTTTGAGAGAGAGATTTTTGCTATAGGGAGTGTGCACTCGCTGGAGAGACAGAAAGCAAGAAATCACCTCCAAGGGGGATGGCCACAGCCACAATCCCTTCTCCTCTAGTCTACTCTCAGGATTTGGGGCATCACATAGTTGGCTCATTCTAACAGCAGAGAGCGAAACTCCAAGGCTGTCCCTGAAATGCTGACATGTAAAACCTGTTATATCCTCTATGTGTGTACCAAATTTTTCTTCAAAGATTTTTTCCACATGGTGCATTTGCTCACCAGAGAGACAGTGAGAGGGAAAGTGAAAAATCACTCCCCATTTGGGATGGCCATGCCTAATCTCTCCTCCTCCATTCTCCTCTTGGGATTTTGGGCACACCTGCACATGTGCCTGGCATGATTTTCCAGCCATCAGGTCTGGGACTTGAACCATGGTTGGCCATGGGGGAATCCAACACCTTAACTATACCATGCCGCCTGCTGATCCCCAGATTATTTTTTAAGCCATTGCATAAAATTATTTTCTTCCTCATTGAATTATTAGAAACAACTCTTCTATAGTAGCTACAGATATAGGAATAACCTCAAATTTATTAACCTAAACTATATAATTATAAAGCTTTCCTTAATTTTTTTCCAGAAAAACACTGAACATAGATTCTTTATACCTTGCCCCCATTTTGCGATTGAATTGTAGCAAAGCTTGTAAAAGAACAGCCAGCGGGCAAAAGCAAAGTTTCAAGGCCTCAGTTGTAGCTTCTTGTACCAGGGAGGGCCAGTGATCATTGGGAATATTAGCCTGCAAAAATAAAAGACAAATAGTAGTGAGAAAGGTTTTAGCACACTTACTTTCAAAGTAAGCAATTCAACTCTCATTTACTGAATGCCTACCTACTTTCCAAGTCAACATGTAAATGATACAAGGAACATCTTTACTAAAGCATGATCCCTGCACTTAGGGGCTACGAAACAGTGTAGACTGAGATAAAGAAAGGTTTTGAAAAAGAAATATTTAAAAAACATTAAAATACTTGCTAAGAGGAAATGCACTATTACACTACATAGATGAATAAAATCTATCAGCCCAATAAAAAAAGCTTAATGCTTAATTTACCATGATTAAAATAACTTGTAGTAATAAATATAAAGTAGTACATTTCAAAAATTACCTAAGGAGAAAGGACAGGTTGAAATAAAGTATTTTAATAAAATCATGCCGGGCACGTGTACATGCATGCTCAAAATCCCAAGAGGAGAATGGGGGAGAAGGGACTGTGATGTGACCATCCACAACAGGGTGTGCTTTCTCACTTTCTCTCTCTCTATCTCCCTCCAGCAAGCCCATGTGCCCTGTAGCAAATTAAAATTTTTAATAATAATAATAATTTCAAGATGGTGACTGCAGAGCATTAAACCAATACTGCACAAGATATATAACCAAGAAAGCCTGCCCTGAGCTTCTGCAGTTCCGCTAACCTAGTCAAATGTATTGGGTCCTTGGAAAAATCATGACGCATTTTTCTGTTTTTCTATGCAAAAACACGTCACGACTTTCCTGACAACCCAGTATTTACTCTTTCCACATTCTCCAGAAGTCTGGAAACTTCGATCTTCCTTTCTATTGAGATCCCACCATCCCTTTAAGTAGCTCTACAAGACAGGACCTAAGATACTTCTTATTCAAGCCCACCCTCACACTTGGCATCACTCATTTCTATACTTATCGACCTCCGAGTGCTGCCACGCCCATCCCCAACTCCAGCTACTCTCCTTCACTGCAGGCTGCTCCACGAGTAGTCACTCCTACCCACCTTTAGGGCATGCACACAGTTGACCACTGTCTCCCAGAAGCTTGCAGGCACTTTTCCAAATACTAGCAGCTATCTGCTCTGTGCTAACGTCTTGGATTGAGAACCACAGCCCCTGAAACACGTGCCAGGCACCTGCCCAAATGCTTCTAGTCATGTGCCTTGAGGGCCTCGGACAACAGACAGCGAAGCCTCCCCTTCTTTGACGGCAACCCTCTCTCACCTCGCTGTCTGTCTGTCTGTATGTAGAAATGTGCAGGAGGAAAATGCAGGTGACAACAGGTCTCTCCAAAGAAATTCTTCACAAATCCTTCTCCAATTCCACTCTCGTGATGCTTTAACAACTTCCTTATAGGTTAGTATGAATGATCTTCAATAAGTTCATGGAAAATACATATTATGAAAAAACTATGCATAGATTTCAATTTTTGGGGCAACAAAATAAATGTAAATTCCATTTTGCCATGAACTTTTTGAAGTCCCCTCATATTGTACCTGCTTCAAAAATCTGTACATTAATCTAATATTTCACTTTTCAGTTTACCATCTAGTTCTTATATTATACATAAAGTGGTCTTTCATAAAACAGTCTTTTTTTTAGAGATTTTTGCTATAGGGTATGTGTTCTTGCTGGAGAGACAGAAAGTAAGAAATCACCCCCTAGGGAGATAGCCACACCATAATCCCATCTCCATTTTCCTCTTAGAATTTTGGCCACACATGCACCGAGCGTGAGTTCCAAGCTGCCAGGTCCAGGACTCAAACCGCGGTCAGCCACGTGGAAGTCCAGCATCAACTGGTCCCCAAACGATCTAATTTTAATATATACCTCTTCCTCATACTGCCAGCTCTTTACCACAGAAATATGACATCTCCTTTCTCCTTTATAATAATTCTCAGATGTCAAATTTTTGACAAGAACAAGTCAGACATGGATGGTGCTTTATAGTTTACAAAGGTAACATTTACAAAGGATATGTTATTTCATTTTCTATTCATAACAACCCCACAAGAAGGCAAAGTAGACATTATTAATTACTTCCACTATTACAAAAAAAGAAAAAGGCTCTACACAATTTAATCAGGTGAAGGCTTCACAGATGGTAAAACAGAAGAAATGGAACTCAGCAGTGGTAGCTGGGCAGGCAGATGAGAGAGGGCACTTCAAAAGTTCATGAAGGGGGGACCAGCAGGTGGTGGGGTGGCTAAGGGTTTTGGACTCCCACATGTCCGACCATAGTTTGAGTCCCAGACCTGGTGGCTTACCTTCTCTCTCTCACTCTCTCTCTGTTCCTCTCTGGTCAAATTAAAATAAAGTTAAGATAAAAAATTGAATAAAAAAATTCATGAAAGATGCATATTGAGAAAATCTGTGCATAAATTTCAAAAATGTTTTGCATTAAACTAAATTCCAACTTTAATTCCACTTTTTCCATGAACTTTAGAAGTACTCTCATATGGCAAGTTGATTACTAAAGGGCAAGTTGATTTCTGCATCGGTAAAGTAGGGTTACTATGACTAATAAAATCTTAATGCATTTAAAGCACTTATACAGTCCCTAGCACAGACTAAGTGCTGTATGTGTTCGCTAATATTATAGCTATTATTAATTTGTTTTACCCCAGGTCAGATTTAATTTCCCAGCACTAAAAAACCCACCAAATAATATTTACAACATGTAATAAGTTAAGCTAAAAGATTATCTATCTCTCCAGTTCACATTCTCCAAAGTAACTGCCATTAAGTTTCTTATATATCTTTCCATGTGGGTCTATCCTTCTATGTGTTTATAAGCACATCAGCACACAAACACACAAGGTGCATTTAGAGATAAACGTATCTTAAAAATGTATAGCACACATACAAACACTCAAGTAGGGGTACATATGTACAGTCCTACAGTTTGTTCTCACCCCCATTTAAATGCATATCTTGAAGAATTTTCCCAGTAGCATGTAAGACTTTCAGTTTCATATACATAAACTGGTATCAGAAAATAGGATGTCAAGTCCTAAGTTATTAGAAATCCCTCTAAGGCAACGTCAAGTGGAACAAAAGAAGACTGAAATGTTAAATACTGGCAATTCTGTCACACAATTAAATCCAGTAGCTGGATTTAATTCTAATTTAGATTACCAAGAAACAAAAAAATGTATATTCTACTACAAATCAATTTGTAAAACTGGAATCGTTTTTTTCTCAAATCCTGACAATGTTCTGCTGTAGTCTATGGATTTATACTACTTGTATGTGCATCGAGAGCCTCAAATACACTCTATCAAGAGGCCACAATGAGGATAATGAGGACAGTGAGACAATAAGAACGCAACAGTTCTCAGTTATGTTAAAGAAAAGAGTATCCATTTTTCATGATCGTAATTATAATTATAATATACTCTTACCATGCAGACTTCCAATGCAAGCAGGGCTAGCCTCAACAGACTTGAGAGCTTCCCACTCCAGCTGCCCTGCTGGGACGCCACCTGCAGGCTCTTTCTGTAACACATCTCTGCAGCACCCATCATTCCTTGGGACTGATACACGTGTGCCAGCCACTAAGGAACAGAAGGGGAGACGGATGCGGAGGATTTTAGCTTAGTACGTGGTCTGGTAATGCACTTTGGACAAGTTCAATAAACCTTGATGAAGTTAAAATTCTGTTCATTGTTAAGTATTGTGACTGAAAAACAAAAATTACAGGTCAAGAAACGGGTATACTGCCTATTCTATTGCCAACAGCTTACTGACTTTCGCCAGAATAAAGTCTAAAAGTCTCCCAAGATGGCAAGTCAGAAACAAAATCAAGGACCGGTTGGTGGCATGGAGGTTAAGGCAGCTGGATTCCATACGACTGACAACACACTTCGAGTCCCAGAACTGGAGGCTTGAATATCATGCCAGGCACATGTGTGCACATATCCAAAATCTTGAGTGGAAAATGGAGGAGAAGAGATTGCAGAGTTGTCATTTGCCCTGGGGATTGTGACTTCTCACTTTCCCTCTTTTCTCTGTCTCTCTGAAGACAGCACAAATCCTGAAGCAAACTTTAAAAAAAAAAAAAAATGGAATGGTGGGTTTTTGTTTCTGTTTTGTCAGAGGGCACATGTGCTCACTATAGAGACAGAGAGAGAGAGAGAAATCAACTCCCAGAGGGGACGGCCACACTGCAATCCTCTCTCTTCCCTTCTCTCAGGATTGTGGGGATGCACCCAGTGTGATTTTCAAGCTGCCAGGTCCACGACCTAAACCATGGTCGACCACGTGGGAATTCAGCACCCCAACCACCATGCCACCCATTGGCCCCAAAATGCAATGTGAAAACAGATATAACGTGTAAATACTATTCCTAGAAAGTCTGTGTTGCTGTATCAATTTCCAATAAAGTAGACTTCAAGACAAGAAACATTGAGAGATAAAGTGAGATGTTTCATGACAAAAGAGTCCACTCAACAGGAAGATAAAAACATTCCTACATTTTTATGTGCCCAGGAACACAGAATTTATGAAATAAAAGTTGACAGAAATAAAATAGGCAAATCCAGAATCATAGATGGAGATTTTAGCACGTTTATCTCAGCAATACTAAAAGAAACAGACAAAAACTCCGGATGGATTAAAATGATTTAAATATACTTAACCAGCATTAACTAGCTTGATTAAACGACATATGTAGAAGACTACACTCAACTAACTGCAGAATACAAATTCTTCGCAAGTGTGTGCAGCATTTACCAATTTTGAACATGTACTGGATCATAACACGAATCTCAACAAATCCCAAAGGATGGTAATTACATGAATTATGGTCTTTTTAAGTGGAGTTACATTAGAAATCAGCAACGGAAGACATCAAGAAAATCTACTCATATGAAAAACTTGGCAATAAAACTGAGTCAAATCAATATCAATGAATATTAGAAATAAATATTAGAAAATATAATGACAATGACAACATTACATAAAATCTCTCAAGGGTGCATATATTAGAAGAGAAAAAATCATTTTTTACTAAGTTAGAAGAGGGAAAAAGCTACAAATTAAACCTAAAGAAAACAGAGTGAGGAAAATAACAAAGAGTAGAAATTAATAACATGTAAAGAAAGTATACCAAAGAAAATCAACACAATGAAATCTTGACCTTTAGAAGAAAAATTTCTACAATTAACAAGAAAAAAGGAGAAAATAAAAAATATTAATATAAAAACAAAAAAGGGATAGATCATTACAGGCACTGCAAACATTAGAAAGAGAATGTAATAAATAATGTTATGCCAACATGTCTGAAATTCTGATTGCACTAGAGAAATTCTTTGCAACTCACCAATGCTAAAGAAAGAAGAAGTCTTACTAGGCCTGTCTATTAAAGAGAAACTTAACCTGTAATTTAAAATGTTCCCAATAAGGAAAATTCTTAGCCTAAATGGCTTTAATATCTAATTTTTCTAAATAGTTAAGAAATTAATAATGCCACTCTAGTACGAACTTTCAAAAAATAAACAGAAAAAGGAATAACAAAATAGACACGCAAATGTGACAAACTCCCTATCATGAGAATGAAAAATTACAAGGCCAGGAGGTGGTGTGATCTAGTGAGGGCACCAGATCATGGGAATCCAGTGACCACAGTTCAAGTCCTGGACTTGGCAGCCTGAAAAACATGCTGGGTATGTGTGCATGCATGCCCTAAGTCCCAAGAAATTGGAGAATAAGGGATTACAGTGTGGTCATCCCCACAGGGTCGTGATCTCTCACTTTCCCCCTCTCTGTCTTTCTCTCTCTCTCCAGTGAACTATGCGCTCTCCTGTGCTTAATGGTAAAAAACCTAAAAAAAAAAATTACAGGGCAGTTTCCCTCACAAATATAGATACAAAAAATTCTAAATTAGATACTAGCAAAAAGATACTAGCAAATTAACTATAGGAACATATAAAAATAGTAATACATCATAACTAAGTAGGACTTATTATAAAAATTAGAAGGCTGGCTTAACACTTGAAAATCAATGTACATTAACAGAATAAAGAAAAATAATTATGTCCAAAAAAAGAAGAGAGAGAAAATTCAGGACCCACCATTATAAAAAAACTCTCTTAGAAAATTAGGAATAGAAGAGAAATTCCTTAATTTGATATTTATAAAAACTTATAGGAAATATCATTCATAATTTAAAAAACAGTGAATGCTTTCTATCTGTGGTATAAGTAAAACACGAATGTTTACTTATCACCATGTTTATTTAATTTGGTATTAGAGTTCTAGTAGTGCAATAAGGCAAGAAAAAAATTCAGCATCTAAACACTAGAAAGAAAAAAAGTAAAATTTTATTATTCACAAGAGGCATATTGTCTACACATTTGAGAAAGAAACATTTATGCCGCTTTTCTTCTTTCGTAGTAGTTTGTTCCAGTAAGAGATAGCAGTAGCCTTTACTTTTAATGATACATTTTCTGAGCTTAGCTACTTACATTCACAACCTAAGTTTTTCAAGATAGTACCTGAAAATAAACCAGTTAAAGGGACAGAGTAAGTCTAAAATTATACCATTTCAAAGAAAGCAGACAACGTACCTGCCAAGCCGGCACAGAGCTTGAGTTGGACATGACTGCTTTCTGCAGCTCTTCAAGCACAGCATCTGGAAGCGGCTTTCGGGACTCCAGGAGCGGTTTACACTGAACTTGTCTCAGGAGCAGGATGACAGCTGGCTGATCAGGGTTACTTTTTAAGTTCTAAAAATTAAACCCCAAATAGAAATATATCAAGCAGGTTCTTTAACATTAAACGTGAAAGATAAAATATTCTCCATAGAGAGGCAAGGCATTTATGGGACAAAGAAATAGGTTATTATCTGTTGAACATAACGTGCATAGTATTCTCACTGGACTGGTGAGAAATGTATACAAGTTGGAATATTCACTTTGCAAGCCAAGTGACATACGTGATTGAATATATATAAAAAAAAAAAACATTTTAAAAAACCCTTTTGTTATTAAAGCTAAGTAAATAATATACCAAAGAGCTTGAGAATATCAAACTCTACATTAAAATAAGCTTTAAAATCAGTAATGCTATTATTGTAGTTTATAAGTCATTTATTTTAGACTTACTCTGTCCCTTTAATTTGGTTTATTTTCAGGTACTATCTTGAAAAACTTACGTTCTGAATTTAAGTAGCTGAACTTAGAAAAGACATAATTAAAAGTAAAGGCTACTGTTATTTCTTACTGGAACAAACTATACAATGAAAGAAGAAAAGAGGTATAAATGTTTCTTTCTCAACTTCTTAATAAAGATATTCACTGCACATCTATCTTCTAGGCACAGACTCTCAGGTAGTGGGAGTAGGGGAAGTGACCCATTTTCTCACCTGGAGCTATTATATCCTAAAACACACACACACATAAATATAAACATATATTGTGTGTGTACACATATTTTCATATATATGAACAAGTTACATAATTTCCCTAAATAAGTCCTTCTACTTTTTAAATGTTTCTCTGTGTTGCATGTCCCTTAAGAGCATACTTCTCTGTTTTTCACTCAAAGATTGTAGTCTTGGGTCAGCAGGAGGCATCATGGTTAAGGTGCTGGACTCCTATAAGGCTGACCACAGTTCAAGTCCTGGACCCACTGGCTTAAAATCAGGCTGCAAGTGTGTGTGTACATGCCCAAAACCCCAAGAGGAGAATGGAGAAGAGATTGTAGAATGGCCATCCCCACTTGGAGGTGATTTCTCACCTCCCCTTTCACTCTCTGTCTCTCTCCAGGCAAGGGCATACACCCTATGGCAAAACAAAACGAAACAAAAAAACAAAAAAATAACTTTTTTTTTAAGAGAGATTTTTGCTAAAGGGCTCGTGGGCTCTCCAGAGAGACAGAAAGTAAGAAATCATCCCTCAATAATCCCTTCTCCTCCATTCTCCTCTTGAGATTTTTGGCATACATGCACATGTGCCCAGCATGAGTTTTAAGTCACTGGGTCTGGGACTCGAACCACAGTTCACTACATGGGAGTCCAGCGATGTAACCTTACACCATCTGCTGGTTCCAAAAGATTGTAGTCTTAAATGTATTGCTAAAATAAATTTGATTGCCTTCTCCTAAGTATGAAACTGGAACAATAAAATGACAAGGACTGGTTCATAAAGTGTCCTTTATTCTATCAGAGAGCTCAGAGCAACTGTCAGTAAACACCTACTGTGTAACAGCCTGCCCTCACATCCTCTCAGATAAAACTCCTTACATAAAAGACAGGGAGTCTGCTTCGCTTTTCAGAGAGTTCAGGACCAAGGGGCTCTTCAAAAGTCCATTCTTCTTTCTCCAAAAAATTTACACCGCTCTTTCAAAAACACATTCCAGGAAGACAAAACAATCTTCCTGGTAAGCACTGATGAAACACGATGCTTCTATGAAAAGTCATATGGAAAACTCTTACCCACCATTTCTGAGTGGATTTATGAAACTGATTCATTCATTCAGTACATGTTTATTACGTGCTAGGCAAGGTGCTAAGAATTTACTCACAGAGACTGCCCTATAATCCTGGCATGTAAAAACCAACTACCAAGTAGTTCTGGTCACCCACTCCTCAGTCCCCACAATCATTCTGTGTGGTTCAGAACTCTGCAAATGAAAGAGTACTGCAAAATATAGTATTCTGAAGGGAGAAACAGAAATCAAAGGAAAATGCTGACTCCCTAAAGATACCAAAAAACAAAAATAAAAAGACTTATTTAGAGCATAAATCCTAGAATCAGAAAAATGTGAGTTCAAATTGCAACTCTAACATTTCTAGCTGGGAGTTCCTGTGAAGTTACTAACCCCCTTTAAGCCTTGGTTTTCTCATTTATGAAAATGGTGATAATAAATACTGACATAGGATTGTTGCAAAGTTTAAATACGAAACACTAACTACAGTGACTGACTTAGCGCAAGTAATGAATAAATGTTGATTGTTATCATAACCACCACCACCATACGCTCTTTAAGGAACATGTACTATGTTTTTTAAACCATTTTCCAGGTAGGATGAGAAGCTATGAATTTCAACGCACAATTCCATGCTAATACCTTTGTGCACAGTGCTTCGGCCTCGGATACTCTTCCTGTGTCTATTAGACCAGTGACAGCTTGTGAGAGGGACCACTTTTCAAGAGATTGGTTGTAATTTTCAAAGAATTCTTTGTCTTTAACTGTAAACAAAAAATATCAATGTTAGCTTCTTCTGTGCACATGTGTGTGTGCATAATACATATATACACATCCGTGTAAGTGCTTATGCATAAGCAAAATGAATGACAGCAATGATATAAGGGACAGGAGGGAGAGATTAGGATTATTTCGTTATTAGGTATTCACACCACCCATGAAGTGATATAGTGTTATTTGAAAGTAGACTTGGATGAGTTGCAAATGCTTATTGCGAATTTCAGAGCAGTCGCTAGGAAAAAATAAAAAAGAAGTATAACAGATATGTTCACAAAGAAGAGAAAAAAAAATTATATAAAATACACAATTAAAACCACACAAGGCAGAAAAAGATTTGAAAACAAAAATAGAGACAGAATAAGGCAACAAGTACTGGGGCTGTTGGGAAAGTCATGCCATATTTTTTTTTCTGTTTTTCCATGCAAAAATGTGTCACCATTTTTCCAACAACCCAATAAAAAAAAAAAAAAACAGTAAAAATATGGTAGATATTAATGCATCTATCTTAATAAACACTTAAACACCCATGACCTAAATCCTAATGTAATCTGAGAGATTTTCAGAGTGGATCAAAACCAGAAATAGTGGGACCAGCAGTTAGTGTAATGGCTATGTCACTGGACTCCCATGTAGTTGAAGCAGTTCAAATCCAGGACCCAGTGGCTTAAACTCATGCCGGGCACGTGTGCGTGTGTGCCTAAGATCCCGAGAGGAGAATGGAGGAGAAGGGATACAGCATGGCCATCCCACCAGGGGGTGATTTCTCACTTTCTGTCTCTCTGTCTCTCTCTGTCTTTCTGGCGAGCGCACACGCCCTATAGCAAAAACCTTTCAAAAAAAAAAATAGTTGTTATTTTTAATCTGAAGAGCATGGCTTAAAACTAATTTTTCCTGATTTACCACTTAAAATAAGTTAATTTTACTGAAATATTTCAATCTTATAAAAGAGTTTATATTATAACTCCATTAAACAAGGGCCTGTTTTGGAGCCAGCAGGTGGCCTAGTGGTTAAAGTGCTGGAATTCACGTTAATGTCGAACTGCAATTCAAGTCCCAGACCCAGCAGATTGAAAATCATGCCAGGCACATATGTGTAAATGCCCAAAATCCCAAGAGGAGAATGGAGGAAGGATTGCAGCATGGCCACCTCCCTCTTTCTGTGGGGCAGGTGATTCCCCACTTTCCCTCTCACTGCCTCTCTCTGGCAAGTGCATGTATCCATATGGCAAAAATTAATTAATTAATTAATTAAAATTTTAAAAGCCTGTTTTTCTTAATTTGCCTTGAAAAACAGGCAGTACTGATGTTTAACATTTACTAAAAAATAATTGTTAACCCAAAGTTAATTCAGTGACAACTACCCTCCTAAAAGACTTCTTCGCAGAAAAAATTACAGAACAATTTCAGTACTGGTTTCAGAACAGGACTCCTTCCAGGTCACTCTATCCTAAAACATATGCAAAATCTAAAGGCAGGTAAATGCTATAAAACAAACATCTTGGGAAGCCAGCTCCAAGCCTAGTAGTTAGAGGGCTAGATTCCACACAGTCAGCCATGGTTCAAATCCTGACCCCAGTGGCATGAAAAACACAGCTAGCATGCATGTGTATGTACCCAAAATCCTAATAGGACAGAGAAATGGAAGAAAAGGGATTGTGGCTTGACCACATCCCACTGATGGGTGTTTTCTCCCTGTCCCTATCTGCCTCTCTCTCTCTCTTCGAAAAGCAACTGTGTATTTCCTCTGACAACTAAAAAAAAAAAAAAAAACCAAAACTCTCAGCTAACAGAATATACTGGACTTTTAAACTATATGGAAAGGAAAATATATTTGCCTTTCACATTTCTGTACAGTTTATTATACCTATGGATTCTTTAATAAATGCATTTTTATAACAATGACTGCTGAAGTTGTTTGTGTTCCTGATTTAACCACTTATGGATCTTGAATTAAATCATGTATAACCATGTTTTTTAAAACTTACTTGAAGCAGAAACAGCAGACAACAGTGCCAAATATAAATCCATCCTCTTGGGCTCAGTGCTGTTCACTAAAGCCAGTTCATCGTCAGCATAACACGCGGCCATGAGCACGGCCCAGACAGCAGGGTCACCTGAACCCAGGAAACAGTTAGAAAGCTTGTTAACATCAACATGTTGTTGAAAAATTACCAAAAAGGAGAATAAGAGTATATGGGTAATAAAAACAAGCAAATGAATTGTATCTTCAGCAAGACCCCACCTTCTTTTTTTTTTTTTTTTTTTTTTATTGTAATTTTTTTTTTCTTTTCTCATCACAACACACATATGAATTTTCCATCCAAAATACACTGTGCATTGGCTCAATCAAGCACATCAACATATATGTTCTCAGCAAATGATTTCCCAATTTTTGTGTCCTGCATACCTTGCCTTTTGTTTTGCCATCCTAGGTTCCCCATCCCCACCCTCTGCCATGTCCCATCTTCCTCCTCCATTGTCCCTGACATTCATGATTGCCCTCAATGGCTTCCGCCCCCCCCATCCAATTGTTCTACCAATGAACTCAATTTGTCTAAATATATCCACTAGCTAGCACAGCTGACATATCCTTACACATGTATCCAAATCTGATCCTAGGCATAAACCCCAGGGAGTAGAATGCACATACTATAAAGTAGTCCCCAGTTGTGTCCATACACCTCTCTTCAGTCATCAAATGTGCATTTTTTTTTCCTCCTGCTTATTATTATTTTTTTTATATTAAATTATATTGCCTAACACTCATTCCCTGAGTATCATCACAACACACCAAGTGTAGTTTCCCATCTAGGATAAACTGCATAGTGTCTCAATCAAGCATGTCGTCACCAATACTGTTCCATTTCTACTTTCATACATATAAATATGTTTTTTATATTAAATTATATTGCCTAACACTCATTCCCTGAGTATCATCACAACACACCAAGTGTAGTTTCCCATCTAGGATAAACTGCATAGTGTCTCAATCAAGCATGTCGTCACCAATACTGTTCCATTTCTACTTTCATACATATAAATATGTTTTTTATCCTATGTTTGACCCTCAGCCCTTTCCCCCTCTCCCAATTACTCTATCTCTTCTATGGACAGCTATCCTCCAGAGGGGTCATTGAAAATGCGATACCTGCGAGTAGAGGGAGAGGGGCCAGGAGTCCAAAGTTTTTAACAATAGGGAAAATAGATTCCATTCAAGGTTGGATCAAGTGTGGGTCTCGTGCAGTTCCGCAACTGTAGGTGAGTCTCCATGGAATACAGTCTCCGGAAGGCAGTTCTGGCAAGCAGAGTTGACCATCAGTTGATGCGGCACAGCAGCCATCTTGTGGTTAGCAGGA